AATGCGAGACGATTGGCAACGAAGGCACATAGGCCAACGCCGCAACGCACGTGCGAGGGACAAAATGCACCTCATTAGATCCGACCCGGGAACGGAAGACGGCAGTAGATTGGAAAAGCCGGCGGAGGGACGCACCGTGGCGCCAGCCCCCACAGACCAAGCCTGCGAGAAAGGCGGGAACGCTGTGCGGGCAGCACAGAGCCCGAGGAAAGGCACCGCCAAACGCGGCGAGGAGGAGCAGAAGGGGAGACAGGCGCAGGAGGCAACGAGGGGAGGGGGAAGGAAGGGAGCCTCACTCACAGAGCACCTAAAGTGCTCGAGGACAGGTGCGTCGAACCATGACAGGCGTCGGTTGCCTAGTCGCGAGTCCCAGCCTGCAACTTCCTTGCCACTGTGGATGGGGGGAAACGCTGCGTGGTACCACGGCTGCACCACCCAGCGGGGGGCCTGCGGACCTGCCCGTGGGAGAACCGCTGGGCTGTCGTGGGCCTCGTGCGCCGTGCACCGTGGAAACGGTCGTTGGCGTCGTTAGCGCACGCGAGCAACAAGTCCGCCCAGAGGAAGGGGGCGATGTCACAAGCGAAGCCGGGGGCCGGAGGGACGGGCCTGCCATGGGAAGGCTCAGACCTGTCAAAGGATGGACCACTTGTACAGGAATCCTGCCTCCCCAGGCCCACCCGCCGGAGCCAGCGGGTGATCGCACCCCGCCGCTGGGATAGGTGTGACCACCTCGGAGCATGCACGTGAACGTTGCCACGATGGGGGGAAGCCGAATGGCGCGGTGCACCACATCAGCGCGCGTGGAGGAGGGGGGGGAGGCGCAGCCGATAGCCGCAAGTCAGGCAAATAAAGGAGGAGGGGAGAGGGGCAAAGCCAGTGGGCCAGGTGGCGGCGGTGACCGCAGAGAACCCAACAGTGTGCGCTGCAAGAGTATAACTAACTTGAGGGGGGAAAGGTGCCCGTCAGGTGGGGGGGGCGACGCTACCTGACTGGGGCCACCGTAGGTAGGAAGTGTGGAAAGAGTGCGGTACGACAGGTGGAGCACATGGGGCGGGCCTTTGGCCTGCAGTCCCAGTCATCCAAAGTGGGCGCCCATGCGGACAAAGACGGACCATTGTCCAGCGAGAACAACGCCAAAGGGAACCGTGGGAGTGGATTATTTCAGCCGAATCCTTACGGACTATGAAGCCCAAGAACAAGCGTGGGTAGTCTAAACACAGTGTGATGGTATAGGTGCACCTCAGCCCCAAGAGGTGGCACAAGAGTATTAAGGCATCGGCCTGTCACTACGGTGAAACCAGCCCCCGTCGTGAAGGGACCACCCACGGAAACGATGGCGGGTGGGGGACAGCCGTCCGTGCTGTCTGTATTCCTCACCAAGTGCGTGTCTGTGCGCAGCAAAGGGGCGGTTGAGGACCATGGGGCTGCCGACCCATTGGGCCCCGCTTGGCACCGAGGGGTCCCATATGGCCCACAGGGTCAGCGCGATGGAGACCGCTTTGTATAGGGAGGTGGAGCTTGTCCCCAGCTGCCCGAGCGTTGTTGTCCAGAGAGCAAGCGTTGCGTTCCATGACGGGCTGAGTGGCAACTCTGAGACTTGACATGAGCGGGGGGGAAAGGTCTTGAGCCGCAGACGAGCTGCGCAGGCCAGCCCTTGAGAGAGCGGGGAAGGGGCGGACGTGCAGGTGGGAAGGCGAGTAGCGCGCAGAGCGACTGCTCCCAGACGGGAGGGCCGACTCCCCAGGCCAGGGGGGGGGGGGAGGGACCTGGTTCCCGGTGGCGGGTCCCTGTCGCACTCACTTGGGGGCGGAGTCCCACCCCCGTTGGCGCTTGTCAGCATAGTGGGTATCCCCTCTGGGGGATGACCGTTTCCCCCTGGCCCTCCACTCTGCGTCGACCCATGTGTCCCGCTGGTGGTCCCACCCGTTCCAGGACTGCCATGAACCCCAGGGGGCGGCCGATCCTGATGCGCCTGTCTGTGTGGCGACTCTGTAGTCGGTGTACAGCGGGGGGGACCATGTAGCCTCTTTGCCCTCGTCAGCCCACGGGTTCCAGCGTCCGCCTCCGATGGGCCCTCCCGAGGCGGTTGCCTGCGAGGCGCCTTTGTCGTCGGCGGACCGCGGGGGGGTATTGGAAGCCACTTTGTCCTCGTCGGCCCATGGGTTCCAGCGTCCGCCTCCGATGGGCCCTTCGGGGGTACGGGCTTTCGTGTCGCGCTGTGTAAGCCTGCGCTGCTTGTCCGTAATGTTTGGCCATTCAACGTGGAGCTGGTAATCCTTGTCCATCCTGTATGCATCGTAACCTACTTTGCTCCATGCCTGGAGAAAGTCGTCGCACTGCTGCACCGTATTCTTCCTGGGGTCGAACTTGATGTTGACCCATGTGCTCCCTTGCTTGAGTCCTGCCTTACGGACCCAGGCGCTCCATACTCCGTTGAACGCACCTCCCAGCGTCTTCTGCAACCTCATGATCTTATCCGGTGCTGGCTCGTCCCTTGTGACATTTGCTTCGTTGATGGGCCGCAAGTACATGGGGAGGCCACCCATGGGATCATCAGGGCGCGCTGGTGGGATTGTTGCTGACTGTGTGTCGCGCCCCCGACTCGCGCTGTGTTGCTGCCTGGGTGAGCTGCGGGGCGGAGGGAACGACCGACCTATGGAGGTGTCTTCGGGAATTGTGGGAGGTCGGCGGTCTGTTTTGTTCTCCGGCTGCCTGAGTTTCCTGCCATCACTGACCGCGTGTGCGAAGGCCCGTGCATATGGGGACCAGGCTTGCGAGTCGACCCTAAGGGGGGGGTGGGACCACAGGGGAGGAGTACTTTGGGCGGACTCACGATTGTTCGGTCCTGGGATGTCGGCATCGTCTACCTGGTGTGCGGGGCTGGCCTGCACCTCGGAGTCGGAACGAAGCGTGCAGAACTGTTCTGCCAAGCCCATTCGAATCCGTTTGACAGAAATTTCGCAACCAAGACGGCCTCCAGACCCCGAAGAGTCCACCAGAAGCCCTCAAGATGGCCCCAAAGACGGCCCCCCAGGCTCCCAAGGGGCCCCTGAGACGCACCCCAAAAGCCCTACTGAAGCCCTCGACAGGGTAAGTTCAAATACGTGACGAGTAACGAATGTCAACGCTTCGCGGAACTCCGCCAAACTACCAGAGAGTGGCCGGCGATGCGCCGCCAACATCCTCGACATACAGCGTCCTTTGTACATCAGCAAGATGATGCAAGTGCGAGTCACACCAAGACACGTGCGCCACGGCGGAAAATCGCTGACGCCATCGTCGTCCTAGTCCTTAGCACACATCACCCACATTGTTACCATCATCACCACCAGCATTATCAACAACGTCGGCATCATCATCATCATCATCATCATCATCAGCAGCAGCAGCATCATCATCAGCAGCAGCAGCATCATCATCAGCAGCATCCTCATCATCATTATCATAATCAGAATCAGCATCATCATTATCACCAGGATAATCATCATCATCGGCAGCATCATCAGCATCATCACCAATAGAATCAACATCAGTACCATCATCATCATCAGCAGCAGCAGCATCGGCATCATTATCATCAGCATCAACATCAAAATCAATATCAGCATCACAATCATTCTTAACATTACCATTACCATGACCACTACCATCACAATAACTGTCATCACCGGCTATCACCATCGCGATCATCATAGTCATCATCATCGTTATCATCATCAGCAGCAGCATCATCCCGATCCCCATCCCCATCCCCAACCTCATCATCACATCTCATCATCGTCCTCATCATCACCACCACCATCGGCATCCTCATTACCAGCATCAATAGCATCGTCACTGTCATCATCAAGATCATCGTCATCAGCACCACCACCATGGTCAGCATCACTACAATCGTCGCCATCGTCGTCATCATCATGATCGTCATCATCGTCATCGTCACCATCATCCTCATCATCAGCATTATCAATATCGTCATCATCATCGTCGTCATCATCACCGTCATCATCCGCGTCATCGTGATCGTGATCGTAATCGCCATCAACAACAACGACAACAACAACAACATCATCATCATCATCATCATCATCATCATCATCACAATCAGCACCATCATCATCATCATCAGAATCATAATCATCATCATCAGCAGCAATATCATCATTAGCATCATCACCATCAGTATCATCAGCATCAGCACTATCATCGTCAGCGGCAGCAACATCGACATCATCATCAGCATCAGCATCATAATCCATATCATCACCATTACTATTACCATTACTCTTACCATGAACATTACCATCACGATCACTGCCATCACCGGCTATCACCATCGCAATCATCATAGTCACCATCATCGTTGTCATCATCATCAGCAGCAGCATCATCCCGATCCCCATCCCCATCCCCAACCTCATCATCACATCATCATCGTCCTCATCATCACCACCACCATCGGCATCCTCATTACCAGCATCAATAGCATCGTCACTGTCATCATCAAGATCATCGTCATCAGCACCACCACCATGGTCAACATCACTACAATCGTCGTCATCGTCGTCAACATCATCATGATCGTCACCATCGTCATCGTCACCATCATCCTCATTATCAGCATCATCAATATCGTCATCATCATCGTCGTCGTCATCATCACCGTCATCATCCGCGTCATCGTGATCGTGATCGTAATCGCCGTCGTCATCACCATGAGAGTCCACACCCGCATCACTCCCTCCTCGGACGTAACCCTCCTATTTGTCTTGGCACCCTCCTCCCCATCCCACTCCGCATCCCACTCCTTAAACTCCCTCCCACTCCTCCTCCCACTCCTTAAACTCCCACTCCTACTCCCACTCCTTAAACTCCCTCCCACTCCTCCTCCCACTCCTCCTCCCACTCCTCCTCCCACTCCTCCTCCCAATCCTTGGCTCCGCATCCCACTCCCCCTCCTCCTCATCAAACTCACTCCCGGTACTCCCCGCTCCGCGGGCCTCCATCTCCTCGCCGTCCACCCTCCACGTGCCAGCGCCCCACGTGGTGTCCAGGCGGCCACCCCTTCGCAGGAAAGGGGCGGGGAGGGGAACAAGCAGGAGAGGCAGAGGGGGGAGCGGAGGAGGAGGAGGAGGAGGAGGAGGCATCTCTCTCCTCCTCCTCCTCCTCCTCCGAAGGCTCCGTGCGCGAGAAGCCCGCCATTTCCCAGCTTCCCGTCTCGGGAGCTGCCCTAGTGGTAGACGAGGCGGGGGACGCACACCCCCCTGTCACCTTCAGAGAACTTACATCGCGCACGGTGCCTAGCTCGTCAGTCTATCAAGTCCGGCAGGGTCAACCATTAGTTCATGTGTTCTGGTCGAGTCTCAATTACATTCGAATCGGTGTTGTCAGACCCATTGGTCCTCGGGAAGCTGGTTGCCTACACCACCCCCACCGCCACGTCGTGATCAGCAAGCAGCGGCAGCGTTGGCTGCACCTATGCCTTCGCCCGTCAAGTGTTTGTCATATGCATCAAGGGGGTGACCTTGAGTTACGGTGTCGCATGGCAGAGTTATTCTTCGTTCCACGTTGCCCGTTGACCCTGCGTTGCTTCTGCCACTACTTCCGCCAACTCCTGTTCTCCGTACCAACTCGAGCAAGAATGCGTGGCCAGACACTATCTCATTGCCTCCGCCACCTGAACAGTTTGGTTTCCAACATCCTGATGGCCCAGACAGTGCTGCACAGGGAGATCAGGTGAAGTCTGCGCAGCATCATCATCTTGAACATCCCGAGCCTGAATAGGTGTGTAGTTGCGCGCTGGGCTCGCAGCCTGCTTATGTCCCCTGCACAATTACACAACCCTCGCCTGCCCAAATGGGACACCCCCAATCGCGCTCCAGGTCCCTTCAGCGTTCCTTGGGCGACTTGGCTGACCTTCTTCGTAGAAATGCGCAAGGTGAGTGTCAGTTTCGCAAAGATGATGACGATCCCTCGTCCCGCTCCAAGTGACCACCATTTAGCCCTGGAGGAAAGAGGGCGATAGTTGATTTTCTGCACGCTCGCCTAAAGGAGAGACCCCCGATGGATCGGAGGGGGACCTCAACGCGTGTCGCAAAGCCCTCTTGTTCGAGCAGTATGTTGTTAATGATTGCGAATGTGCCACGCTCCCGATCAATGCACGCCCTCCGTTTCCTCCAATTGACGCGTCTGTAGTCAGACAAATCAATGGTCAGTGCAAGAAGAACAAGCCAGGACAGGAGGACTTCTCATCAGTGGAACCGCCGACCTGCAGCTCTTACAAGAAGAACTTTGGTCACATTCGGAGCAATGGCGGTTGCCAACATCGTTTACAATGAAAGCACTCTGATGTGCAATGCGCTCTGTGTGACAAACAAACTTACGACGACCTGTGCAGAAGTGCGAGGTTAACGGACTAGGCAAAGGGTGTCTTTGTAAACATACTGGGTATCCAACTCCGCGCCGGTTGAACAGGCCGCTTGGACCCACTGGCTTGAGTTTCACATGTGTTCAACAATGCTGATGGACAGGGATCAGTCGCTGCATCTTCCAGCTAGGCCTCCAACCTTCGTTCTTGGACGGGGTTTCTTGCTCTCTTCGCCGGCGGGGCTCCTCCTTCACACTCCTACATAATTCCCCTTAATCGGTGACACGTTTGCGCTGCTTGGAATCGTCATTAGACGCTGCATCCTTCTGTGATATTAGCTTAGAGGCCCAGGCTTGCGCATCCAGTCAGGAGCAGCATCACCGCACTCTTCCACCCTGGGACCCCCCCTCGTCTCAGCACTCCCAGGTGTAGTGTTTCGTATGCTTTCGAATGGCAACGTTGCATGCCTACTTCAATCGTCAACGTTGCGTTACGCACCCTCCCTCTCCCCCAGCTCAACGCAGGGCGTTGGAAGCCTGTGGGGGAAGCATTGTTTGTGGAGGTCATGTTTGCAGTGCGGGGGGGGGGGGCCACGGCTCGCGATCTCTTTGGAGCCCTGGACTCCTCGAACGCAAATCGGCTCTCCTCGAGTCAGGTCAGCCCTTCTGGCTCAGGCGATTTTCGTTCCGAGCTTGGCCGCGCGCACTTCAGCAGGGCGCGGCACGTCCGAGCCTCTCTCTCAGGCTACGCGGCATGGCGGGCGACGCTCTCCCCGCTCTGCCAGACGCGCCGCGGCCGGCAGTCGCAGGGGAATGGCGCCGCGGCGCATGCGGCTGCGCCCAGAGCCGCGGCCACCAGCAGCACAGCAAGCATTGCGGGGCCTACATGACGGGGGTGCAGGTGGCCAAGGACTGGCAACACTTCCTGACCGCAGCGTTCCAGCGGGGATCCTCATCTGACCTTCCTTTTCTTCCAAGCCCTCAGTCTGGCGGCAACGGGGGGTCGCCCGTCGGCTCTGTCGGGCTCTCCGTCGAGGGCCTCGACGCGAAGGCGCTCGTGCCCCAAGCTGCCACCGCTAGCAAGCAGGGCAGCGAGCGCCTCGCCAAGTGGACCCCCCCCAGCGCGGGACGCGCTGCTCGCCAAGTCTGAGCCCAAGCCGCCCCGCGCTGTCCAGACACAGGCGAGTCAGGCGCACAGTCACATCCAGCGGTTGGAGAAGAAGCTTGAAAAGGAGCCCAATGAGTTGGATCGGTGGCGGAAGGATCTTGACCATCAGCAACGCATGTGCGATGGCGATGAGCTGTTCGACGACATCGCGCAGACAGACGCGAAGCATTAGGAGCTGGTCAGCCAGATCGCTCAAGGCGTTACCCCTGCGACGGTCGAGGCTGGCGGCAGCAAGTCGGCAGCCCCGAACATGGTCTCTCTTTTTCTGCACTGCTGGAGGCAGGTAACGCGGAGGAGCTCTTCGAGGTCGACACGGTGGCCGACCTCTCCGGAGGTTGTGAGCTCTCGGCCGAGGACCAGGCGCAGCTTGACCAGCGCAAGCAGAAGCAGGCGCCCAAGGCCGGCCTCTCCAAGATGGCGAAGGAGCTTCAGAGGATTCGCAGCGAGCACCAGGATCACGTTCGCAGGTTGTCTCTGAAGAAGCGTCGTACTGGCGTCGACTCAGCAGATGCTGGAGGTCGAGATGGTGCTCGAGGCGGTGACGGCCCAGCAGACGCTGCTGAAGCTGGCGGAGGTGCAGAAGGGCCCGTTCCGACCGAGGCCCCTGCCGCTGGCGCAGCAGGCCAGGGAGGTGCATCCTCCTCGGCCACCGCCACTGACGCGCGAGAGCGCAACTCCAAATCCAAGGCTCGGTCTTCCAATCTCCCCTCCCCGCCCGCTGACAGCAAGGGGAAAAAACTGCATCGGCAACTTTAGCAACGGCAGTCCTGCCCGTGCCAGAGCGGCCCTGGTAGGAGACCGCGGCGCTCTTTTTTGCAGCCCGCCCTCTGTCTCATCTGTCTGCGCTGATAGACTCAGTGCTTGAGCGAGCCTGCCAGTACCAGCTGGTCCAGACTCCCCCGAGCTAGATTCGCCCTCTCTCTGGTAGTCACCGCGATCAACTGCAGAAGCTACGGGACACTCCGAGATTTGACCTCAAAGAGCGAGCCACCCCATAGTTAGGTCATACCCCAGGGGGGGGTGGAGGGGGAGGAGGAGGAGAGGAGGAGGAGGAGGAGGAGGAGGAGGAGAGGAGGAAGGAGAAGGGAGAGCACCGCCTGCTCCAGGGCGATGCAATTCGAAGGGCAGATGGCCACTGCCGGAACGCTGGCTGGAAGTCTATCCGGGAGCCCGGCACTCGGAAGCCGGGGGGGACACGTCGGGTGGCGCGGTGGTGTTGGCCAGATTCCTGGGGCCTCCATCCCCCTCCCTGTGGATCCTCCTCCTCCTCCTCCTCCTCTCCTCCTCCTCCTCCTCCTCCTCCCTCCTCTCCCTCCTCCTCCTACTCCCTCCTCCTCCTCCTCCTCCCTCCCATTCCTCCTCCTCCTCCTCCTCCTCCTCTGTGGACTGCAGATAGTGGCTGGCCCGGCCATGGGCGCTACTTCTGATTTGCCTGGTGGTCTGTTTACCACCGCCGTCTCGACCTGCAGACATGGCTCGGAGGGCATGGCGGCGCGCCAGATCCGCCTTCTGAAAGAGGTCGGCTCATCCTTGACGCTGGTCTCGGGCCGCGCCTCGCAGGTGGCGATTGCAACTTGGACCCGGAGCAGATCCTCGACTCAGGCCACGCGGAGGATCTCAGAGGAGAGCTGGTTTCCACGGGATCGCCTGCTTGTTTCGGTACGCCCTCCAGCATTCGGGACGCCTGTGTCGTTTCTAAAGGTCTTGCACGAGGGATTGCTAAGGTCTGTGAATGTCCCACTGGACTGTTTAGATCCTCATATGGCCACCTCGATCGAGTTCCATCCTCGACTCTGTCGTATACCAGCCTTCGGTTTTCGGAAGCCCCTTAATCTTCCTGTGACTGCCCGTCCTGGCCCCCTTTCGCGCCCTCAGGACTTTGGCAAGAGCAGCATGCTCCTGGACCCCATGTGGGAAGGCCCTCTTGTCGCGCAAATCCCACAAGTTCGATGGGCTCTTTCACAATGCCTACGAGCAGTGGGCCAACAAGTCGGAAGCTGAGCTCGAGGCCGTCTTCGCCGTGGATCTCCCCCACAAAGGGGCCAGAGGCAAGGGCCCCGAGGTCGTCTGGCGTTGTACTCTCAGGACGGCTGTTAAGCAGATTCGTTATCCCCAGGTCCATGCTCTTCGCTGGGTGGCACCTCGTTTTTAAGCAGTGGCGTTGCTTTCGCGCTCTGTCTCTTCTGCAGTTGGCGCGCACCCGGGCGATGTAGACTTGGCTCGTTCTCTTGTGGACGCTCTTTGCAAAGCTTCTGACTGGATTTGCAGGCGCCGTGGGGATCTCCGAAGACACCTTGACAACATCCAGGGGGCTCTCAGGGACAGGTCCGAATAACGGCTCTTTCCTGAGTTCCTGGACGAGTTGGAGGAGCTGTGCCCGGCCCAAAACTTCATCCTGCACACGTGCATCTCCGCGCACGACAAGCTTGCAAAGCAAGAGTGGCACTCCTGGCTGACAAAGAAAATCAACCAAGGAGCATAGAAAAACGCTCACGCCGCTTTCAAGGACCCCCTTTTCCTGGACCCCTTC